TCCAATTTCGCAATTGCAACTTTATGACAATTGAAGTCAGGTATACCGGCGGCTTTGGTATCTCGTCTTGTATACTCATAATCCGGTCCCATAAGGTTGCTCAACACCTCACAAAAGTTTATTGAAAAGAGGCTACGAACATCCTCTTCAATAATCACCCGATCATGTAAGGCAAATCGTGGCTTTTAAATTTTCGTTGACCATCGAAGCGATAATTGTTTACGTCTTCGAGAAAGCCTTCCCAAAGACGTACTTCGGATGGTACGTCTTCGAGAGAGCCTTCCTTCCCAAAGACGTACTTTAGATGGTACGTCTTCGAGAGAGCCTTCCCAAAGACGTACTTTAGATGGTTCGTGGTCAGATTTCGTGCAGGTTTTCGATTCGCAAGCATCAGGAGATAATTTAGAAGTGGTGGAGCATACGATAATGCCTCTTCTAGATTTAGAACTTCTAACAAAAATGAAATTGTGTAATTAAATAAATGAGCAAAGGTCCAAATACATTTGACGCAAGGCAATTCAAAACTTGATCTTATTATTACCTGATATTTGCGTAGCTTTTCTTTTTTTGATGAGGTCGGCAGTGGATGAAGTGGATGAGGTTGACGACGTAGACGTTTGATTCTATTCTCCCATATTCTATTTACTTTTATTTTTTCCAACTTTGAATCTCAATAGCGTCTTTTAGGGTGTCAGCTGATTCGAAGTAAAGGATAGCGAATGGTCTAGGCTTGTAGTTATTAGAGCGAGGAATGTACACTGATTTTGTCTTGGTGGCGAGCACGATAACGTGAAGGTCACTTGCCGAGGTACCATAAGGGAGATTGCATTGGTATTAATTTGTGGTAGCTGGGCCTCGCCGAATACCTCATCCTTAATTCGTGATTAAAAAAAAATTATAAGTTAGGAACGTTTCCAGAAACAAAAATTAATATTGCAGGAATACATCAACAGTCTCTTTAAGGAAGACAACCGGTTCCTCCAGAATCAGTAGAACCTTCATCAAAGAAAACATTATGTTCTGGGCTACATCCTGGTATTTCTTGTGACTTACAGTTAGATTGTTTTCTATAACGTAATGTTGGAGAGACCAGTTTTCATACGGTATAAATTCAAAGTACGTTGAATAAGGGATATTTTCAGAAGGAATATTCTTGATATGGGATTACAATGTTCGTAACTCGATTTTAATAGCAAGCCTTCCATATATCGTTGTGTCCGAATTTATATGAAAAATATCGTTATATCCAAATTATACCGATATTTATAACGAAACGTGGTCGAGTAGTGTTGGTGTAGGTTCGAGAGGAACTTCTTTTCAGTCGAAATAGTATCGGTGTTTGGAGTTCAGTTTTTTGTCTTTTGCGGTTTTAGCAATATTATCTTTGTTAAGGTTTTTTCGTTGTCTTTTGAATATGGTGGGGAGTAAAATATTTTCCAATATATTTTGTCGTTCAGACTGTAAGAATTCTATTTATAGGAGGAAATTGACTAATTTATGTCGATCAAAACGTGATAATTGACCAATCAAATTTCGAAACTAGAGACGCGTCCATAAAATGACCTAATCATGTGATGATTTTACTATGAAATCTATCTCGTGATCATCAAAAAAAGGGGAAATGACCTGTTACTTAATTAAATTAAAAATTTTTGAAAATTGAAATTCATGAAAATTTTTATTATCGTTTTTTTTTTTAATCTGTAATTATAATTTAAAAATTTAATATGAATTTTTTTTTAAGTAAATTGTTATAATTTTAATGATTTTATTACTATTCTGTACTAAATCTATGATTAATAATCTGAATTATCATTAAATAATTGATTAATATTTAAATTATTTATTTATTTTTTTTAATATTAATTTGATTTTATATAATAAATTCTTATAAATTTAAATATAAACTTATATAATATAATATATAAAAATAAATAGTATTAATAGTATTTTAATTATTAATTAAATTAATAATAATAGAATTATTAAAATTCTTAATATAATTACAGTCAAACCTTATTAAATGCATCCTTTTTAAATGCATATACTATATATTTTCTCTTTAAATGCATAATCTTATTCAATCCTAAACATATAGAAATTTCTCTTTAAATACATATCCTCTTTAAATGCATATTTTTTTAAAATTTTTACTATCCCTTAAACTATAGAGCAGGCAAATTTGCCTGCAAACATAAAAAACAAGTATTAATTTTTTAATAAAAAATAAAATATTAATGTTAATAATATAATTATTATATAAAAATATAGTTTAATATA